GTCCGGCTGCCGGAGCATTTCGACCCGGCCTGGTCGACGAGACCTTACAGGACGTACCCGACCGGCTACCTAGCCCCATGGGGACCTTACGGCCTTCACGGCACGGCAGAGTTGGGGGGTTCAGCCCGGAAAATGATACGAGTGAGGAGGAGTCCCTATCGAAGTCCGCGGAACGAGAATAATGGCTAAATAAAATAAGACGCGTCTTGCGGTAAACAGTCCCGTCGGGATGTTTATTGTACGGCCAGACTTTCTGCCTACATGGGTTGCGCTCGAAATATAAACTATCCTACGTGAATTTTGGAACGCCCGCCAAACGTGACGGGACGCTTGGTGGGGGACGAACAAAATTCAACGATCCCCGACCAAAATTGGAATCCCTCGGTAGGGGTCCAAACGGGGCACAACGCTTTGTCGGGAGAACCTAATATGGCCCCTCGGTGCCTCGATAAGGCCCCGGCGCCCGGTATACGTGTAGAGAAGAACGGCGCCGGTCCGAGGTATGGCACCGCACCCCTCACTCACTTAGACCTGCGCGCACGCAGGCACGATTAAACGATCCGGTACAAAAAGAGCGGTATTTTCACTACAAGGCACACGGTACACGGGAGCGAGTGAAGGTTTTCCTCCCGATGATATTCGGTAAACGCGGGACGCAACCCGTCGAAAGGCTGTTAGTGTTACTAACAGGAACGCAAGACGGGTGTTGTCACACAGGCATGGAAAGTGGCTGCTGCCGGGACGGACGAATACGCGGTCCACGGGATCGACCTACCGATCGCGTCCTGCGTGCGCGTCGGAAATTATAAGTTCATAAACGCTAGAAATACAACATCGGAAATCACTTAGCGGAAGTCAAAAGCTCGATCATCGGCGTATCGGACCACGGTTAATCAAACAATTGGTCAATTGGGAATTCGGCTAGTCAGAATCGTCTTATCGGAACTCGGTTGTTCGGGAAACGGCTTATCGGAATGTGGCTCATCGGCACGAGACAGCGGGAAAATGATGGTCATGAGGCTCTCTGGACAGGGACAAGGATTCATCGGTACCGCTCTCCCTGAGGTTGGAATGATAGGGTTCCGTTCGCAATGCGGCAGCGACGCGGCGCCTTTCTGGATGCGGTAGCGGCACGACGTTCTTCAGGATCTCACAGCGGTCCGGGTCGACGCTATAGCTGAACGCCCCGGACCATCTCGGTCCGGGTCGTTCTTCGAACGGTCTGGCTCTCACGATAATCCCCCTGGCAATGACAGTTCCGCCGGAAGATCTTCCGTTCCAGTGCCGCTGTCCTCCTGGTAGTCTCAGCGGAACTTCTCACCGGTGATACGACCTACCATCTCGCCTAGTTAAATTAGGTTACCAGGCCGCCTAATTAGGGCGACCGCCGGCCTATGGCAGCAGAATCCCCAATTCGGGACCCCATGCGCTTTCCGCGAGTCCAGTAAACCGAATTGGCGCGCCGACGCATACCGCTCCTATGCAAAAAGTATACTTACCGCAAAATTATTCCATATTTTAATTCAACAAATCAAATCTTAACCTAATGATTGTCAGAGGGACTCCTCCCCGCTCCGGCTACCAAAGCTCCTTGTGATGGGCATAAAATTCTCTACATCACAATATCTATTTCCTTCATTGGAAAATATAACCTGTCCTCAATCACCCACCGGCAATTTTGTACGGTTTCCCCGTCTGTAATGTCACAATTAAAAATTACCGATGTAACTTTCTTGAGTATTTAAACAGATAATAGACAAAATACCATGAGATTTTTAGGTAAAAATTTTATTACTGAACAAAAAATAACAAATAGCCATATAAGGGAAACGAAATTACACATTTTCTTTTGTTAAACAAGAGTAAAATGTAAGGTGTAAGTATAATATTTCCCTTAAGCATTCTTAGAGTAGTATTGTGACTGAAATCTGAATGTATTAATCTGGTAATATATAAAAAAAACACGCTTAAGTCCATAGTTTATTAGGCGAAAAAGAATCCTTTATCTGATTTGTGTTCATTTTCATCGAATAGGATAAAATCTCGCTATATTATTAAAAAAAATGTTGATATTCAATTCGACTTGCTCCAAAAGAAATCGAACCGGCTATGTTCCCAAAAAAAAAAAGATTCAAAGTAACAAGCAGGTACGAATTGCGTAACCGATACGCTTGGCGTTAATTATTAACCTTAAATATATCTTATTGCCAAGAAAATTAAATCTCAAGATTTAGAGAACCAAGAATATACATAAGTATAATACGTCATGTTTCTCACTATAACTGACTGATAATTCATGATGAAACGATATTTTATGATAATTTGAATATTGTACTGTCTAAATATACTGCACCGTTTGGAGTAAATTAATACATAACACGTAAATAATTTTGCCTAAAACTAATTTATATAAATTCAAGTTCGGAAAATAATGTAAAAAGTATGAACTTTGGAAACAAAATTTTAGTTCTCATGCCCTTGACTGATAGTATGGCATACTAGCTATAAAGATTAACGTACGGCTGCATATTAACATATGTATGATATATAAAGGTGTCAATACATTCTCATACATAACATTATGGTACAATCAATGTTAAACGAATAACGTGTTTCTTCTGAATTAATATAACGCAAATAGCCTCAACGTGCCGACATTATTTGCCTCCTAATTTTTCGCTTTGATATCCCTTTGCACCGAGTGCTTTTGCGTTTCTGAAAAAGTGAATAAACACGTTGTTTTGTAGATTCGTTCATGATACTTAGCACATATATATGTCCTAGATTCTAATCGTTTATATAAAAATACAAAAGATAGATCACGGGGTTCTGAGACGAAATGTCTTATACCTATTAGGCAAATATATGGTATTAATAATTACATTTATAACTTAAATGCTGAATTACAACTAACGACATAAGTAATTAAATTTAAATTGCACTATTGAAAATAAAAGGCCACCTTTGTGTTAATCATTCTGATTAATAAACAATATAATGATATCTTAATTTTAAATTGTAACAATAACTAATAAAAATTATATAAATAAATTATAAATGTAATTTATTCTGCTCATTTACATGCACGCGAAAAGCACAGAGGAATCGTCGCGTCTGGAAATGAGCCCTAACTCTACTTGTTAATCGATATAAGTTATTTAATATTATTAATCGTGCAATGAAATACAGAGTCGCATTTAAGATGACAGTTTCAAAATAAATGTCAGATTGTGCAAGTAAACAGATATGACAGCATTGAATTTTCTTCATTTTAATTTTCCCTGTTTCCCGTTGATAAATAGTGTAAATTTGCACACCTGTTTTTCTTTTAGAAGGATTGTATGGGTAATGGTGCAATCTAGCAGGGAAACGTTTGATAGGTCTTCTCTATTCCAGACGTTAAAATTGCATCACATATTAATTAGAAATGTATTAACCCTTTGGACTCCAAGTATGTCTGTCAGGTACAGACAGTGTCACGTATTACACTCCATGAGTGCCTACCAGGCACTTCATTAGTCTGAGGGCATGCAAATATTTCGAATGAATTGGAATTATCGGGTGACAGCAACATTAAAATGTTGGAGCGTAAAAGGTTAATATTTCAGTTTTTCAAAGCTACTAATCAATTAAATTATAGAGTCCGGGTTGGTTTTGTTTGACCCTTAAAAAAATATATTATCTTTTCACTTTCATGGGATGTTTGAAAATGTTGACAATGAACATTTACTATGTATGTGCTTGAATTGGTATTACAGTGCTAACGATAGAAATATACTGGTGCTTTTATAAAAATCTTCTTTCTATGGATTATAGCAATGACCTAGTACATTTTATACCTCATCGTCAGTGATTGCTTATTAAATTTGATATAGGGTAAGTCCGGGATGTATGGACCACCGGTATAGACGGACTAGTCGAATATTTGGCTGGGGTGTCACAGCAGCGCTGCAGTCGTTGTCAGAAGTTGTTCTTCTTGAGTAGACGGAACCACGCTTAGTTTTGCTCATGAGTTTCATGCGTATTTTAGAAGAAAACTTTGTTTATTTCTTTTGGTGAGTTGAAAAATATTTTATACTGGATTTATTTGATATGTGGTTAAGTTAGTTTAAATGATTTCGACGTAAGATCAATCCTGTAACTCAAGTGTATACTTGAGTACAACCTTGACCTAAAATGGCATGCCGGTAGCGTTGTTTGTCTGGATGGGAAGCTGGTCCATCTATCCCCGACAATTGGGATAGATGGACTACTTGAAAAAACCTGGGATAGGCGGCCCATATCTCCTATTAAGGCTTTACTTTCTATATAAATGAATATATGGATGGATGGATGGATGGGTGGATGGATAATTGGAAATGGAATGGAAATGGAAAGGGAAAGAAGATGACTGCAGAATGATTCAATGTTTTGAACCATGTGAATATAAATCAGACTACCTATATTTTCTAAGTATATTGACTATCAAATTTACTTATCCTTTTTCAAATAGTTTATAACTTTATACTTTGAAATAAACAATGTTTATACCTTTGATAACATGTATTTCTTGTGTTACACCCTGATTTAGTAACGTATACCAGAGGTCCATCAATCCCTAGGAGGTGGTCCATCTAACCCGAGTACCCCCGGGATAGATGGACTACCGAGTAAAAAAAAGAAAAAATCATAACTTCAAGTGTGATTAGTGTAACAGCTGGAGAAGTGCTTACAATTGTTCAAGGTCATATATACATATTATAAAAAAATATACCAAATCCTAGACATTGCGAAGTTTCAGAAAAAATGACTAAAAAACATGGTCCAACTATCCCGGATTTACCCTATCGCCTTCAATTTTGGTATTCTGATCATGTGGCCGTAATCCAAAACACAAATGAAAATAGTAATTTCATGAATAAATGTAGAATCAGATTGATTGCGATCACATAATAAAACGCATAATGCTCGCTATAAAAGATTGATGACAAGTAAGGAAACTTAAGATTAAATTATTCATATAGCTTCGAAATAGATTTAATGAACAGATGCACTATTTCGTAAAATTTTAATTAAAATTCATGCCTGTATCTGCAAACAAATTACAGGTATGTAATATACGACAGTTTATAATGAAATGTATTGCTCATTACAATAACTGCCTGCAAACAGTATGTAATGTTCATTAATAAAGCAGTAAAAAAAATGCACATAATAAAGATTTTCGATTTAGTTTTTCGTCGTTACAGGTTCCTGAGGCGTTAATTTCTCTTTCTTATTCTAAGACTACAGTGCTATTCGAAAATATACATTGCTTTGTAATAAGTGCTGTCCCTGGCTATTATAAGATTTTGCCATTGTAAAGTAGTTTGGTCATTGCTCTCACAAAGCTATTATCTGTGCATTAATTTACTAGGATTCGCACTATCTTGAAAGGAAATATAATTTAACATTTTTCAAAAATACTATGAAATCACTTAAATTTTGTAAATTTCGGCCGCTAGTATGAAAATAATAATATCAATAATTATTATTCGATATTGATGGAGTTACATTCTCATCGTGTGAGATTCTATGGCCTACAAAATTGAATTGCATTCTCAGTATACAAGTTCTTAATATTAGGATCAATATACATCCTAATATACTGTATAAAAAAGGATCTACTTTTTTAAACTGACATAACATGCCTCAAATTGCGATTAACAGAAAACACACATTTGTTGTGTAATTGGACATAAAAATGATTATTTCCTTCCAAAATCAATGGCCCTCTTTTCTTCCCAGTGGTATTATTAATATACTTTTTAAATTCAGAACTTCCTTTTCTCATTCACACCTATTGCTCAGAGAACTGGAAAATTGATATTTAATAAGTTTTATTCAATACTATCTATGCATAAAATAATATCACTGAGTGTATTACAGCTAAGTTAATTGTAGTAATATTGGCTCATCTAAATACACAAATACGAAACGATGTTACTCGTTTCCTATGCGTATAATGCGTATGTGCTGCGTGTAGGAAAATAGGTTCAGGTATTATGTAAATATTTGAAACATTCGAAAATGTGATCGCAAAAGTGATTCGTAAATAGCACGAATAAATATGCTATAGTGTCGATAAATGCTTTATAGCATTAAGGAAAATGGTTATAACTGCACATTCACTATCCACATGAATGCACTTATCAGGACGGTGGTCGCATAAATATCGTACTCATGATATAATTAAGTAATATAAAAGTACATTTTATATTAAATTAGATCACTAATTGTGACTTGGAGCTGGATATAAATACATCTATTCAATAGAAAATATCATAACATCCTTTTCCAATCTAGCTAAATTCATATGAGTCTTGGTCAGACTTGGGTTATAAAATGTGTTACAACATTTTCTCTTAATACGTTAAGAAATAGCTAAAACATAGATACTTCTTCGTATTGGCAAATACGCCATTATATGCAATGAACGTAATCGATTGTTACATGTAATGTCATATGGAATGAGCGTACTTTATATATCAAGTTTGAACGGATGATCGCGAAAGTGATGTTGGATGGTGAATGTGCAGATGACAACTAGTATTGGCTGATTAGGCACTGTGCTGATTAGGCTATGTGAGCCGAAACTGGCTCTGAAGGCGGACTGCGATACTTGGCGCGAATGTGAAGGAAATTGGTGTGCTTGCTGCTGTGAAGTGGAGGCGTGCTTTCGCGGCTAAGGACCCTCACCTGACAGGGGTCATGTCTGGTCAAGAAATGATCCAAGGTATCCCAACCGCCTCCTACTCTCACCATCATATGTCTGCCCTTCAGGAGCTAGAATGTGTTAAACAATACTAATGGATTATGTTAGATAATAACAACGGCACTGTAATCATTATTCCATCACTTATAATTCTATGCTGATACATGGTATGCTACATTTTCTTCATCGAATTCACCTCACAATAAAGTATCCAATATACGCATATAGAATGTTTGCATTTCTATGGCATGTTTAGGCCAATCAGAGATTGAAAATATATATATACATTATGTGTTCCCAAAATGTCAAAAGTATTCTATCAGATTTTTAATGTTTGGTGTATGTATTATATACATTACTGCAGCATTAATATTTTCAATAATTAAGGTGTTATGAAAGTATCAGCCTATCTACATGGTGTCCCAGACCTCCTGTACAAGAAATATACGACGATAACGTCTATTTAATGCTGACAGAGAATATTTAACGCAAACTAGAATCCCAATTGTAGTTTCAAAACTGCAATAGTTTAAAGTTGACCAAGACCAAAATACAAGGAAGCCCAATTGCAAGAAATCACAAATAGCTGTAGCAGAAGCCGCATATGTCCTACGGACGTGCTCTTGGAAGTACAAGGTGCTAGGGCACAATCGAGCGCGCTGCACAAATCCACCTCGCAGATTCTGCTCATTTTTCGGCAAGGATGACACAAGCCCAGGGAAATGCCCGTGTCCGAAACCGGCAAACGAGGGGGGATCCGGCGCCGGAACGAGCACCGACCAGACCCCACACGAGACGGAAGAATAAGGCTCGAGGTAAACATAGCTGGGGAAAGAACACAAGCTGTGTGTTCGGTCGCTCTTTGCTGGACTGAACGCGTTTTCTCGTGGGTTAAGGATCCGGAAAAGTCAGCACATCTTGTATCGAATTTTCTTCTTTATTCGCACAAACTGGTATTAATTTGAAATGATCGTCGGTTGAAGATGGAGAATGAATGAATGCTCGAGTTCGAACTCGGATCTCGTTCGTCACCTCAATTTTCGTCAAGTACAAGGAAGGGATGAAAATTTACCTTTGATTGGCGGAAAAAGTCGTGGGTGGGTGGCTTGGTCAGACATTTGGGTGTCACGGATTGGTTAATCAGAAGAAGGGGGTGGTGGAATGATTAGGAAAGGTGGGAGAACTCACAGTTTTGGGTTTTCCGCGACACTTGGGTTTTTCGGGTAGGTCAAGGTAGGGAGCAATAAAGGGGATGATTGACCAGGTGGTCTAACGGGACACTCGAAATATTGGCTCCTTGGGTTTAGCCCAAATTTTATGGTCGGTGACTGTTGGACCGGGTGACCCGCATGGGTTCGAGCGGTATTCTATAGTTATTGAAATAACTGTGCCATCATTACTTTTAAGTCCTGAACACAAGCACTACTGGATAACGGAGCCGTAACGTCATTCATCAACGAACGGATAACGAATAAATGTAACAGGAACGGATGGGCGAAGACGAGGTCCCGCTTCACAGTTGCAGGAGTGAACGGAAAGATGATCAGCATCATACCGGAGAGGAAAGGAAACGTTACCATACAGGGGCAACGGGTCAGTCACAAGTTCCTTGTCCTACTCACGATGAGCCACGACTAGGGATAGACATCGCCCAGAAAATAGGACTACAAGTTTTTATAAGGAAAGAGAGAGTGTGCCCACACGGACCAAAATATCTAATATACGTACATAGAATATTTCCATATCTATGGGATGTTTCAGTATATCAGAAGTTAAAAATATATGTATAATATATGTTCACGGAATATCCAAAACATTCTATTGGAATTTAGGTGTGCATTATATGTATTGAATACATTACTAATATAATATATATCTACTTAACAGGCACTTATACTTGAAGTATTACATAAGCAAAAGACATCTAATGTATATTGTGCGTATATTAAAGGAAGGAAAATTGACCCGTGGCGAACGTAAAAAATACATATATTTACTGGTACCATCCTTTACTGGTACCACAGGGGGGAGCCTTAGGGTTAGTATTTAACTAAGATAAGATGCACAGAAGAACGAGTCCCCAGGAGCGGTTTTGGAGCACTGCACGCGCTGCTAGAAGTTTCGCTTCTTAACATTACTTAAAATCAGACGTTAGGTATGGACCTAACACGTGGTGAAAAAGCAGTCAATAACTGTGGCAAAAGTGGTTTTTTATGAACAACGCTTTGATGCGCCGCGCTTTGTCGGACTCCGGCTATGGGCGCAGGTGTCGTTTCCACTACATCTTGACGATGGACAAAATAGATGAATTGTCAGGTTAACAAACATCGGTGACAGTTTCAGATTAAACATTCATATTTTTAGGTTATTGCCTGTCAGATCAGGTTAACAAACATTGACAACATTTGTGGCATTTTTCCAGGTATGACTCGTCGGAAGGGCCGTATCCTTTGTATCATATATAATTAATTCACTTTCTTTTCAATACCAATTTTATTATTAACACTTCGAGATTGGTGCACTCGTAACTCGATACTTTCCTTGTATCTATAATACAAGGACAGTATCGAGTTATAAGTTGTATCTATAATAAAAATTATAATAATAAAATTATAAATTATAATAATTTGTAGATTTCTTTCAACACCAATTTCAATTTGCTTCTGATACCAGTATCAATTTTATTTCGATACCAATATCAATTTGCTTCTGATACCAGTATCAATTTTATTTCAATACCAATATCAATTTTCTTTTGAACCCAGTGTCAATTTTCTTTTGATAGCAATTTTAACTTTCAGCTTGGTGTACTGGTAAATCAATACTTTCCTGATGTCTACATTATAAATGATTTTTTGTTGTCTTTCGATAACAATTGTAACATCAACTATTTTACTTTGGCAAATAATTAAATTCTTCCGATTGTAATAACATTGATCATTTTAGCATGGTACTTTACTGGTACCATCCTTTCATAGGTTTAACATCGAACGACACTTTTAGTTTCGTGATTTCTGGTATCAATCCGTCAAAATAGATACGTTGCTTGTATGTATATTAGATCATACAATTAATTTACAATTTTCTATTAATAGCAAATTGTTCTTACATTGATACTTTTAACGTGGTACTTTACTGGTATTGTCCTTTCATAGTATTACCATCGATCGACACCTTTAGTTTTGTGGTTTCTGGTGGACCGTTCCAATCAGATACTTTGCTCGTATTGATATTAGATTGTACAGTTAATTAATTTTTTTATTGTGTGGAGCATCCTATTCCGATTTCTTATAGAAGGTGACTGGTAGAACCAGGTCCTTCCGAGGCGTGTCAGGATAAGCAGTCAAAACAAGAATAGTAGGAGCGGTGAAGGAGAAAGAATAAGCCATTAATCACATCGCATGTGACGAGCCGTGTTGCCCAACGCCCAGACTAGGGCAACACGTCACGCACAAGCTAGCCACGCAACGTGAGATGCCGCAATCTAACGCAAGATATCACTGATACCGCGAGCAACCGCGGCGCGGCGCCGATAAACTCCCGGCGCTCCCGCAAGCGAAGCGGGCCGCGACATAGTATATAGCGACACCCGAGTGACAGGAAAGGCAGAAGCTCCGGAGGCGCATTCACACGCGCCGCCATTTGGGAAGAAACCCAGTTCGGCAGATCTGTAGCTTCTCAACAAATCGCAGGAAGAGATCTCGGTTCGAGACAGTCGCGAAGTCGAGTCATGACATAGACGAGACGAAAGGGAGACTGACTTAAATCGAAAATAGGATAGTCCTCATAGATAGTAGATCGAGTAACATTACACGCATTGAAAAGCCGCCCTACTTAGGGAACGACGACCTATATTTAACGTATGATCTTTGTATTCTCTTTTGTACCTCCACAACGGAGACTTCAGCGGCAGAGCCGCCCGGGCTGCAGCCCCTTTGAATAAATGCATTGTTTTGTTTTCCACTTACGCATTTATTGTTTCACTCCACCCAGACCCTAGACGCGCACGTCTAACGCTCCGAGCGGCTGCTGTCTTGGAAAGAGAACCGAACGTAGACTGTGGCGTACAGTACACGTAACCTGTGGCGCCACCGGCCTACCGTTACACGCATATTGATATATTATCGACCGTTAGGTCGAGTCGTCCGTTTATTACGAAAAGTACCGTCATATGGAGAAGACTCGAGCAGACTGAGGAAACTAACAAAGAATGTTTTTCAGGTGTCCGCCTCTGATTGTTCTGGTTCTTGGATATGTTTTAGAAGACCAAAAAGTACGAAACGCGTGTATTTTTATTTTGGCCAATTGTTATGTGTAGGGAGTGAAACAGCCCCTCAAAGTTCATAAGAAGAGGTATTAGAATTCTTAGTTTAAAGAATAATGTGTTGAGTACAGCTTATTAGAATTTTAATATACGTCATAACTTGTTTGTATATAATGGTATATAATGTCCTTATCGGCATTCACCCTTGCTTGGGAGTAATAAAAATTCCTAATCAAATAAGGTCACGTATAGAGACTTAAAACGTATAGCGGAAAGTCATTAAATTCATAAGAAACTAACTGTCAATTACTTTATGATGACAGAATAGTGGTTTGACAATCTCCCATCCCTCCTGAGGGGTGATGAGCCATCCCTAATTAATTAGTTACGTTTGCTTATAATAAAAGTATAAAAGACGCGAACTGTTCGCCCGAATGCAATGAAAATCCATGTAAACAGCATTTCATAAAGATGGAAGTCTAAAGTGTCACCATACTTATAATTACTCCAATGGGAAATCTACCCTAATGGAGCCGCTTATGAATGAATGTTCTGAAATGCATTTTGCATTGTGAAATGATGTTTGTCTCCATTCCTGTTACATGTGGTCAGCGATTGTATGTGTAAACATTTTCTTTTTTCAGAACGGATATAAGTGGATCTATTGGGGTAGATTTCCCATTGGAGTAATTATTACTATGGGGAGACTTTAAAGCTCCATCTTTATGAAATACTGTTTGCATGAGTTTTCATTGCATTATGCCAAAATAATTCTAACAACGAGCCAAAGGGCAGATACCTGACAAT